CTGTATAATAATATCAGCACTGCAGTATGACTTGGCGATGTGGTGAGTCCTATAAGTGCAGTACAAGCTGGTGCGGTAGTGAGCACAAGTATTGTCCCGCAACCACCAAGAATTCACACACAGGCCTGTAGAGCCCCTAGTATCCTTCCGGATGTGCTTGCAAATCCCGATTGACAGCCCACAAGTTCTGCAGCACCCGTACTTCCCCCATTCACTGCCCAACCCGGAATTCAGGTGGAAATAGCAAATTTAACTCCTCCCCTTGATTTTTTTTAGCTGTTTTTCACTGAATATCTGTATGCGTTGATTGTGGATCAAAGCAATTTATATGCATAACAATTTATCACCGCCAACCCGAATTCAAACCTTGCCAGACCAGTCGCATGGAAACTCATTACAGTTTTCGAATTTACATTTTTTTTTGGGCCTAACCCTCAACATGGGCATTACTAAAAGAAGAATGAATTGCGGTTGTATTGGTCCACAGACCCAATTCATCATATGCCGTGTTCTCTGCTGCCATGGCCAGGCATAGATATAAGAGTATAAGGTGTTTTATGCATTTCAACAATACACTCTGTCATCCTCAGGGTGACCCTGAATTTGACCGGTTACACACAAAAATTCAGCCACTCATGAATCACCCTTAACCAAAAATTTGCAGATGTCTATACTCCCCAGCAAAACATCTGCGTTGACGAGTCCCTGATTAATTTTTCTGGCCGCCTTGCATTCAAACAATTTCTCCCCCAGCAAGCGTGCCAGATATGGGGTCAAAATGTAGAAGACCTGTGAGAGCGCAACAGGCTATACTTATAAGTTTCGGTTTTTACGAGGGAAAAGATAGTCACGTGGAGCCCCCCGGATGCCCAGACTACATGGGGAGCAGTGGCAAGATAGTTTGGGACTTGGTGTCATACTTTTTCCATATGGACAATTTTTATTCAAGCGTGCCACTATTTAGACATTTGTTCAACCTTGGAACTGACGCTTGTGGCAAAGTGTGACCTAATGTGTGCCCACCTTTAGAAGTGGGTGGATGCAGGGCAGTATATTCTAATGGTGGGCATACCACACACTTTTTTTCTTGCAGAGATTTCTTCTTTTTTCATTCAGCCCACAGACTGCATACAAAAAAAAAGAACATAGCATATATAACCAACAAGGACCAGCGACGTACTGGTACATCACTGGATTTTGAATGGTTATACCAGGATGATGCCTACAGCTGCAGGCATCATCCTCTTATTTATTTCAGCCGGTGATCGGCTTTCATGTAAAAGCAATCCTAGTGGCTAATTGGCTGCAGGATTGCTTTTACAAGCAGCGGGAGATGCCCCCCCCCCTCTTTCCAGCTGCCTTCCACGGCCTTCTCGGGCAGTCCCGTGCCATCGGGGAAACCTGAGAATGCAGCCGGTGTTTCTGCCAGCTGATCATAGAGCTGATTGGAGACCAAAGTGCTGGTCTAAGAATTCGGAAGCTACAAGCATTTCATCACTTCAGTTTCGCAGGATATAAACAGCGCCATTTGTAAATTGGGAAAGCATCTGATCACACTGATTTTGGTTTGATTAGAAAATGTAAGGGCAGAGGGAGATATCCAGAGTCTGATAGACCCCAGATTTCTCAAAAAAGAATATATGACAATGCCCATTGAAGTTATAGGGGATATTAGCATTCCCTGTGATAGCATTAAAAGTGATAAAAAAAAAAATGAAAAAGGTACAGTGTAAAAATCAAAATAACTTAAAAAAATAAATAAACTCTCGCCCCTCCCATGCACGCACACCTGTGTGCACAAGCGTTGAACCTGTGTCGGTATGTAAACAGCAGTTGCACTGTACATGTGAGGTATCACCATGAATGTCAGATCAAGGGCAGTAATTCTAACACTAGACCTCCTCTAAATCTAAAATGGTAGCTTTTAAAGCATTGCCTATGGATATTAAAAATGTATGCAGTTTGTCGCCATTGCACGGGGCATGCGCAGTTTTAAAGCTGGTCATGGTTGGTATCTATTTACTCGGCATACCATTATCTTGTGTTTTTGTGCATTAATCACAGATAGAGCTTTATTTTGGTGGTATTTAATAACCTCTGGGTTTATTTTTAAACCAAAAACCACAGAAAATTTAAAAAAAAAAAAAAAGTTTTTTCTTAGTTTTTTTGTTTTAAAATTGTGTAAATAAGTGATTTTTCTCCTTCATTGATGTGCGCTAATGAGGCTGCAGTGATGGACACTGATAGGTGGCACTGACAGGCATCACTGATTTATGGTACTGATATGTAGCATTGATGTGCACTGATATGTGGCATTAATTTGGCATTGATACGTGGCACTGCTGGGGCTGCACTGATCATCAGGGCACACTGATCATCAGTGCCCTGATGATCAGTGTACATGTCCCTCCGTGGAATGCAGATTACCGGCTCTCCTCAGCGTGACAGCTCGAGAGAGAAATGCCGATAACCGGCATTTCCCTGTTTACATGTGATCAGCTGTGACTGGACACAGCTGATCAAATGACCGAACCGACATCTTCGGCTCTTTCTGTGGACGGGTGATTCGCTGTGTCCAAGGGACACAGCGCACCGCCAAGCGCTGCACGCTCCCTGCGCACATATGCGGTGAGAATGGGAGAGGACGTCATAGGACGTCCTTCCAGAACGAGAGAACCATCTTGCGTCCATCATTTTACTATATAGCGGGCGGGAGGTGGTTAAAAAAGTAAAAAAGTGTATTTTTTTTTTTTTTTTTAAATTTGCTTTTGAAAAATCGTTGCGTGAGTACTATGTGCCATAAAAAATGGTAGTACCCAACATTTTATTCACTAGGGTGTTTGCTTTAAAAAAATATTGTTTGGGGATTTAAATAAATTAATTTCCTAGCAAAAAATACAGATTTTTTTCATGTGAACAAAAAGTATCAGAAAAGGCTTGGTCTTCAGGTGGTTAGAAGTTTATGCCACACATCATTCACTCTTCTAATGCTGGGCATAAAATGCCCCCACCCCCCAAAAACTACCTTTTTGGAAAGTAGACACCCCAAGCTATTTGCTGAGAGGCATGTTGAATGAACAGAAGAATTTATTTTTTTACCAAAAGCTTTTGGAAAAAGACAAAAAAAAAATAATTTTTTTTTTAAACAGAAAAAAATTGGCACTTAAATCATTTACTGCTCACACATGCCATGAGTATATGTAGAATTACTCCCCAAAATACATTCTGCTACTTCACCCGTGTATGGGGGTACCACATGTGAGAGACGTTTTGGCAGTCTAGCCATGTATAGGACCCCAAAATCCAATAAGCACTATCAGGCTTTTAAAGGGCTTTATTTCCTTATTACACTTCCAGACTACCTATCACAGTTTTGGAGGCCCTGAAATGCCAGGATAGTACCTAACCCCACAAATGACCCCTTTTTGGAAAGTAGACACCCCAAGGAATTTGATAAGAAGCATGGTAAGTATTTTGCAGATCTCATTTGTTGCCACAAGCTTTTAGAAAATGAAGTAAAAACAAAAACATTTTTTCTATTTTTTTTTATATTTCAAAACCTTGTGAGAAAAAATGAGATCTGCAAAATACTCACCATGCCTCTTTTTAAATTCCTTGGGGTGTCTACTTTCCAGAAAGGGGTCATTTGGGGCGGGTGGTGCTATCCTGGCATGTCAGGGCCTTCGAAACTGTGATAAGTAGTGAGGAAGTGAAATGAGGAAGTTACGCACCTTCAGGCTTTCAAAGTGGTCATTGGATTTAAAGCTCCTGTATGTGGCTAGGCTCCCAAAAAGTCTCACACATGTGGTATCCCCATACTCAGTAAAAATAAAAAATAACAAGCCATGGGTATATGTGGGTGTAATTCCACATATACCCATGGCTTGTGCGAGAAATAAATCATTTAAAATGACAACTTTGTGTAAAAAAACCCAAAAAACTCTTTGTCATTTTCCAAAAACCTGTGGGAAAAAAATAAATCTTCCATGGACTCAATATGCCTCAGCATATAGCTTAGGGTGTCTACTTTCCAAAAAGGGGTCATTTGAGGGTGTTTGTACTATCCTGGTATTTTAGCACCTCAAGAAATATGATGGGCAGTCAGAAAGTAAAAGTTGTGTAAATTCCATTATCTATACCACAGTTTGTAGATGCTATAATTTTCACAAAAAGCAATAAATATACACTTACTAGGAATTTTTTTAACCAACATGTAGCAGAATACATTTTGGCCTAAATTTAGGCCAAAATGTTAGTTTTTTTGGATATTTTTTATGACCGAAATGAGAAAATAGTTTTTTTTTTTAAAAAAAAAAAATTCTTCAAAACGTTTTCGGTTTATAGCGGCAAAAATAAAAAGTGCACAGGTGACCAAATACCACCAAAAGAAAGCTCTATTTGTGTGAAACAAAGGACATATTGCATGACCGCGCAATTGTCCGTTAAACTAGCGCAGTGCTGTATAGCAAAAAAATGGCGTAAAATTGCAGTATCTATACCATAGTTTGTAGACGCTTTAACTTTCACACAAAGCAATTAATATACACTTACTGGGATTTTTTTTTTTTTTACCAAAAACGTAGCAGAATACATTTTGGCCTAAATTTATAACCAACTTTGAGTTTACTATATATTTTTTATAGCCAAAAGTAAAAAATATTGTTTTTCTTCAAAATTTTTGGTCTTTTTTTGTTTATAGCATGAAAAATAAAAAGCTCATAGGTGATCAAATACCACCGAAAGAAAGCTCTATTTGTGTGAAAAAAAGGACGTAAATTTTGTTTGGGTGCAGCATTGCATGACCGCGCAATTATCAGTTGAATTAGTGCAGTGCCGAGTAGCAAAAGGAGGTCTGGTCAGGAAGGGGGGTAAATCCTCTGGAGGGCAAGTGGTTATGACAGACAATAACAGCAACAACAATGGCCTGTTACTGAGGAGCAAGTATTATATTATCACAAACTAAACCTCTACTTTTCTTCATCAGTAAGGCTTTTCTTTACCTTATCTTCCACACGGTTTAATCTGGATCCAATAGTATTATTACCACGATCTTTCACTTTATCTGGACAGGGAAGTAAAAAAACAAAGCTATTTTATGAAAATCCGTTCTAACAAATGTTATCCAAAAATAAAAATTGAAAGAGTCCAATTTCATATCAAATTGTCAAATATTATTACATTTAATGTATATAAAACAGATTTGTAGATCACACCAGATTACATGTTGTCATTCCTTTCTTAAAATACAAAAGCTTCACCTAGAATGTGCCACATCCCAAAGTTGGGGGGATCAAATCATCTAATTACTATGCCCAAATATTTCAAAAGGAAAAGATTACCTGACCCAGACAGAAATAGTGAAGGTTTCCCCAAGGACTGGTCAAGTCTATAAAACAAAAACAAACAAAAAAAAAAAGGAACACATGAAACGTAAGAGATACCGATAACTTAGAACACTTGGTTACTTGATTATGTGTTTCTAAGGATGTTTACCACCACAATAACACAGTATTTTACAATTAAACAAGCAAGGAGTAGGTGGTCGGTATGTGTTTTGGAGAACAAGAACAAAAATGTTTCTATATTGCAGGTTAACAGTTCTTAGATGTGCTGGCTGCATTGGTTTTCTTTTGGTTTTCTTTTCAGTATTTATTCCTTTATTTACTTGGTGGCCCTACCAGTAACACACTTGTCCTAGGGTGACAGCGTTCATTCACTATATTGCATCTTTGGAATAGCCATGTTATCACCGTACGACAGGAAGTGTGTTAGGGCTACAGAAGACGTCTCCCTCCCCTCATCTCCATAGCATGGCGAGAGGGGTTCTATAGTCCACAGAGAAAACTGGCAAGCTGATAATATTGTTTGAGTTTTCAGTGATACATTGTCAGCTCACTACAGGAAGTTAAAGTGTGATTAAACCCATATACAGTTAGGTCCATAATCTCAGGCTGCAGCAGGGACACAGACAAGGAGGGTGGGACAGTGAACAGTAGGATTACCAGGTTTTATGCAGAATACAGAAAACAATTTCCATAGTGACTGAGTATGACCAGCATGGAATACAGCATGTACCGACAGATTTAATTACAGTTAGGTCCATATATATTTGGACACAGGCACAATTTTAGTTTTTTTCAGATATTTACTAAAACATATTCAAGCTATAGTTTGGAGGAAGGGTTTAGGAATTACAGCTCTTAAGAGTAGCCACCCACCCTTTTTCAAGGGACCAAAAATAACTGGACAATTGAATCAAAAGCTGTTTCATGGTCAGGTGTGGGCTACTCCTTTGTTATTTCATCAATTAAGCAGGTAAAAGGTCTGGAGTTGATTCTAACTGTGGTATTTGAATGCATGATGTAGGTTCACAGCAATAAATTCCAAATGCAAAGAAGCTATCCATGCAAGTGAAACAGGCCTCTGTAAGGCTTAAAAAAATGAAACAAATCCATCAGAGAGATAGCAGCAACATTAGGAGTGTCCAAATCAACAGTTTAGTACATTCTGAGGAAAGAAGAACGCACTGTTGAGCTCAGAAACATAAAAAGGCATGGATGTCCAAGGAAGACAACAGTGGTGGATGATCGCAGGATCCTCTCTATGGTAAAGACAAAACCCATTCACAACATCCAGACAAGTGAAGGACAATCTCCCGGAGGTGGAAGTGTCATTGTCAAATTCTATAATCAAGAGAAGACTTCATGAGAGCAAATACAGAGGGTTCACCACAAGGTGCAAACCATTCATAAGCCTGAAGAATAGAAAAGCCAGATTAAACATCTAAAAAAAAAAAGCCAGACCAGTTCTGGAACAGCATTCTTTGGATGGATGAAACTAAGATTAATCTGTACATGAATGACCGGAAGAAAAAGTGTGGAGAAGGCTTGGAACAGCTCATGATCCAAAGCACACATCATCTGTAAAACGTGGAGGCAGTGTGATGGCATGGGCATGCATCCTTTCTAAGCTGTTCATTGCTTCCTTTCTCTTACCTGAGCAGCCTATGTGATGATAGATGTGATAAAGTGTTGTGCTACTCAACAAATACTCCAATAAAAATTACTCAAATAATCATGTGTCCATAAAAAAGTTCATAATTCACATACACTTCAGTGAACCAAGTATTACATTTTGTGCTTCACCCGTCCAACACCACCTCCAAGATATAAGGATGGTCACTCACCTGGACACCAGGACCTATATAACTAAATACAGGTTACAAGTGCTTGTTGCATTTCCATATGTGGACTCAAGATGGCAGCAATCTGGTGAGCACTGTAAATCTCCATCCGCAAAAGGGACTCCGCTCCAGTTACGATACCTCCACTCGGAATGCCAACAGGAAAGGAAAAAAAACAAATTGCCTCCAATAGTGTAATATTATTTATTCAATCAAAACACTCACAACGTATTGGATTATACAAGCATTGCACATGAGAACTGTACTTCCGGTCCATGGCTATATGCCATAAATGACGTCCTGAGTGGAGGAGAGGAAGTGGAGGTATCATAACTGGAGTAGTGGAGTCCCGATTGTGGAAGGAAGAGATTTACAGTACTCACCAGGTTGCTGCCATCTTGAATCCACATATGGAAATGCTACAAGCACTTGTGACCTGTATTTATTTATAAAGGTCCTGGTGTCCAGATGAGCAGTCATCTTGGTGGTGGTGTAGCACAAAATGTAATACTTGTATCACTGAAGCATATGTGAATCATGAACTTTTTTATGGACATGATTTCTCCATGTTCATTAAACAGCTAAACACAATATTACATGTTGCTTGATGAAGGTTTCACCTCCGTGTAATTCTAAAGCCGGTTATAAACGGACCGATCTTCTTTCCTGCAACTAAATTCCCTTTGATCGATCAACTTAGGTACATTCAGCCTGCCCATACATGGTTCAAATCTCGGCCGGTCCCTGCTGAACCAGCCAAGAATCAAACCATCTATGGCAGTGGTTCTCAACCTTTCTAATGCCGCGACCCCTTAATACAGTTCCTCATGTTGTGGTGACCCCCAACCATAAAATTATTTTCGTTGCTACTTCATAACTGTAATTTTGCAGTGGGAGGACTAGCGCCCCATCACTGATGTCAGTGGGATGAATAGTGTCCCATCGTTGGTATCAGTGGGAGGAATAGTGCCCCATCATTGGTGTCAGTGGGAGGAATAGTGTCCCATCATTGGTGTCAGTGGGAGGTATAGTGCCCCATCATTGGTCAGTGGGAGGAATAGTGCCCCATCATTGGTGTCAGTGGGAGGAATAGTGCTCCATCATTGGTGTCAGTGGGAGAATAGTGCCCAATCATTGGCGTCAGTGGGAGGAATAGTGCCCAATCATTGGCGTCAGTGGGAGGAATAGTGCCTCATCATTGGCGTCAGTGGGAGGAATAGTGCCCCATCATTGGCGTCAGTGGGAGGAATAGTGTCCCATCATTGGCGTCAGTGGGAGGAATAGTGTCCCATCATTGGCGTCAGTGGAAGGAATAGTGCCCCATCATTGGTATGAGTGGGAGGAATAGTGCCCCATCATTGGTATCAGTGGGAGGAATAGTGCCCCATCATTGGTATGAGTGGGAGGAATAGTGCCCCATCATTGGTGTCAGTGGGAGGAATAGTGCCCCATCATTGGTGTCAGTGGGAGGAATAGTGCCCCATCATTAGTATCAGTGGGAGGAATAGTGCCCCATCATTGGTGTCAGTGGAAGGAATAGTGCCCCATCATTGGTATGAGTGGGAGGAATAGTGCCCCATCATTGGTGTCAGTGGAAGGAATAGTGCCCCATCATTGGTATGAGTGGGAGGAATAGTGCCCCATCATTGGTATGAGTGGGAGGGAATAGTGCCCCATCATTGGTATGAGTGGGAGGAATAATGCTCCATCATTGGTATGAGTGGGAGGAATAGTGCCCCATCATTGGTGTCAGTGGGAGGAATAGTGCCCCATCATTGGTATCAGTGGGAGGAATAGTGCCCCATCATTGGCGTTAGTGGGAGGAATAGTGCCCCATCGCTGGTGTCAGTGGGGGGAGGAATAGTGCCCCATCGTTGGTGTCAGTGGGGGGAGGAATAGTGCCCCATCGTTGGTGTCAGTGGGGGGAATAGTGCCCCATCGTTGGTGTCAGTGGGGGAGGAATAGTGCCCCATCGTTGGTGTCAGTGGGGGAGGAATAGTGCCCCATCATTGGTATTAGTGACACAAAAATGATGGGGCACTATTCCTCCCACTGCACCAATGATACTTACCTTGCTGACCCCTGCTCCAGCCTGGGCTCGCTCTCTCCCTCTCACCATCTACAGGCAGCATACCTGGCTGCAGCAGCAAAATTTGCACTTACCTGTCAGCTGTCTTCCTTCTCTGGCCTCTCTCTTCACTCGTTCCTGCAGCTCCCTCGATCTTCTTCGATCTCCGCACGCTGCCGCTCGGCTCCTCCTCTCCAAGCTCCACCTTCTCGCCGGTGATTGGCCGCCTGTGTGCCTCTCCTGAGCTACAGTTCCGGTGGCCAATCAGCGGCGAGGAGGCGGTGACAGGGGCAGCATATCATCCCGCCCACACATCGCCGGAGACAGCAGCGGTGTCTCGGTTCCTAAGACCATCGGAAATATGTGTTTTCCGATGGTCTTAGGCGACCCCTGGGAAATGGTCGTTTCGACCCCCAAAGGGGTCGCGACCCCCAGGTTGAGAACCGCTGATCTATGGGCTGCTTAAGCATATACAAGCAATAAAACACAGGCTGGAGGGGCGTGCAACAGGCAGTGATTGGCCAAAACCTCCCCCTAGATAGCCCATACCAGGTTTTTGCACAAAAATAATGAAAATTTGGGTTCAAATACATATCTGTATTGATTTAAAAACATTTGATAGCAATTATGCATCTTTCCTTTGTATTTCGATGGCTGGGTTTTTTTTATTTTTAACATGCGACCAGCAGCAGAGGGCTAGAAGCTCCTCCTGCAGATGTTTCTGCAGATGAGGAAAGAGCTGGGTTGCATGACAGCTGTATATAGATTATGAAATCTTGTACTTTTTTTATTAAAATATAGTGCCATCATCCATATACAATGCCTTGAAAAAGTATTCATACCCCTTGAAATTTTCCACATTTTGGCATGTTACAACCAAAAACGTAAATGTATTTTATTGGAAATTTATGTGTTAGACCAACACAAAGTGGCACATAAATTGTGAAGTGGAAAGAAAAATGATAAATGGTTTTCAAAAATTTTTACAAATATCTGAAAAGTGTGGCGTGCATTTGTATTCAGCTCCCTTTACTCTGATACCCCTAACTAAAATATAGTGAAACCAATTGCCTTCAGAAGGCAATTTGTAAATAGAGTCCACCTGTATGTAATTTAATCTCAGTATAAATACAGCTGTTCTGTGAAGCCCTCAGAGGTTTGCTAAAAAACATTAGTGAACAAACAGCATCATGAAGGCCGAGGAACACACCAGACAGGTCAGGGATAAAGTGTGGAGAAGTTTAAAGCAGGGTTGTTGGGTTATAAAAAAATATCCCAAGCTTTGACCATATTACGGAGCAGTGTTCAATCCAACATCCGAAAATGGAAAGACTATAGCACAACTGCAAACCTACCATGACATGACAGTCCACCTAAAACGGACAGGCCGGACAAGGGGAGCATTAATCAGAGAAGCAGCCAAGAAGCCCATGGTAACTCAGGGGAGCTGCAGAGATCCACAGCTCAGGTGGGAAAACGTGTCCAAAAGACAACTATTAGTTGTGCACTCCACAAATCTGGCCTTTATGGAAGAGTGGCAAGAAGAAAGCCATAAGAAGTCCTATTTTCAGTTTGGCAGAAGCCATGTGGGGGACACAGCAAACGTGGATGAAGGTGCTCTGGTGAGATGAGACCACAACTGAACTTTTTGGCCAAAAGCAAAACGCTATGTGTGGCAGAAAACGAACACTGCACATCACCCTGAACACAACATCCCCACCGTGAAACATAGTGGTGGCAGCATCATGCTGTGGGGATGCTTTTCTTCGGCAGGGACAGGGAAGCTGGTCAGAGTTGATGGGAAGATAGATGGAGGCAAATACAGGGCAATCTTGAAAGAAAATGTATTAAAGTCAGCAAAAGACTTGAGACTGGGGTGGAGCTTCACCTTCCAGCAGGACGACTCTAAACATACAGCCAGGGCTACAATGGAATGATTTAGATCAAAGCATATTCATGTGTTACAATGGCCCAGTCAAAGTCCAGACCTAATCCAATTGAGAATCTGTGGCAAGAGCTGAAAATTGCTGTTCACAGATGCTCTCCATCCAATCTGACAGAACTTGAGCTATAAGGGTAGCTATGGTATCCTTAAAGTGGTAGTATAGGCCAATTATTTTTAAAAAATGTTGCCTCCACCCTCCTCCTACCTATCCTACAAAGCCTGTATAATAACAGAGCAGCATAAATACGTTTTTTTTTTTTTTTTAATTGGTCCAGTTACATCATCCAGCAGCTCTGGCTCCCCTGTGTAAGTCAGCGCTTGACAACCACTATGAATTCCAAAAATCTTGACCTCACCCACTGGCTCCTATTGCCCATTCATTGGTGGCGCACCCCTCTCTCCCCCCTACAACATCCTTTCGGACATAGCTGCTGGATCACAGGACCGGAGCAGACTGGTAAAAAAAAAAAAAAAAAAAGCTTTTACACTGCTCATTTTTATATACACTATGCAGGATAAGTAGGATAGAAAGGGGGGGGGGGGCAATATTCAGAAATTCCATAAATGGATCAAAATTCTTCCTGGTCAGTAGGGACCAGACAAATTTTGATCCATCTATGGGCAGGCTGGTTGAACACAAGTTAATCGACTCATGTATAACCAGCAAAAGGCTGTGTGGCTGACTGGCCAGCCGAACGGTAAGAGAAAGGCATGGAGTCTGACTGTACAGAAGCCACCTGAATTAAGGGTGCTAGGGTCCTGTGTAAATAAACTATCATTCCTGTTGCAACTATGTGCTGAGCCAGGGCTAACGAGGCCATCTGACCCTTTTTACTTGTGCTTGTAATCTGCCATGTGTAGTAAAATATTTTTCTCAGAGGGATACTCATGACCTTTACTGCTGTGGAGAGGGAAGGGAAGGTTTGTTGTGCTGGGAACTGTAGGCTGCTGAGGACTCCGGTATCATGATGAGACTGTTGTGCTGTGACAAGGAATGTGGGCTTAGAGCTGTTGCCAGTTTGGAAGTTTGGCCCAGAAGGAGGAAGAGCAAGAGTGCACAGACTCGGAAACCAAACCTGAGAACGAGGCAGCACAGGATCAGTGAGCGCCAGTCCCCAGGGCCAAGCAGGCTCACCAGGGTGCTGCAGAGAGCGTTATTGCAGGTTCATTAGCGCTGCACAATCTCACATTGAGCTGGCAAATGTCTTTTTTTTTTTTTTTTTTTAAATTGATGCTCCTGGCCTCAAGTTGCAACAGCTGGAAGGCATAGGAGGTTTAGGCACTTGGGCAGGAATATTTAAAGGACTTCCATCCTGCATTTACTGATGAAGTCTTCATGCAGGTAGGATGGAAGGGAGTCAGACCCCATGCTGACTTTGACCACCAAGATGGGCATACCTCCGCAAGGGTCTTAAGAGACAGGGTTCTGTCACTAGCAGACCACAGTCTTGAACTAGTAAAGCAACTTGCGGCTCACTCATCACATTGCACTATGTGTCAAGGGGAGCACCCAAGCCAGATTAAGTGCCTCAGCAACATTACAGGCTGGCCCCACTGGTCTAATCAGCCAGGAAACTTGACAGGAGAGTTATCAGAAAAAGCCTCTACACTACAGGAAGGAGGCAAGTTTCTCTAATAAAATAAGAGTTCTATCACCAAAGGACAAAAAAAAAAAAAAAAAAAAAAATGGAGGCTAGCTGGGAGTAGAAGGGGTTATATAGGGGAATGTCCTTGCATCGGTCTTTCTTCTTTTTTTCCCCCAGTGTGCAGTCACATGAAGGCAGTTGCATAAAACCTATGGAAATAACTAAAGAGCCCGGTCCCTTCCTGTAATACTAAGATATGTAATCAATGGTTCCTGATAAAAATGGTAGAGTTACCGGAGTTGTATTACACTTTGAAAAGTAATAATCTTAAATATGCGTTTGTCAGAGTCTCATGTAAAGGTGACTTTTTTCTTCTTTATCGGGCAGAGCTGAGCAAGAATGCAGACCATTTCTGCTGAACAATAGGAAACTAGCACAGCACCTTCTCTGCAGCTCCTTGATCCTGACCATCAGATTAAGATGACCTTGTGAGTACTGTTCAATGACGTCCCGTACATCATAGGGTTTCCTGGCTTGCTGCAAATATAAGCATGAAAACAATAAGAATGTGTGACAAATGTTTTCCGGGGTATAGGTGGAAGTTGTAAAATCATCTTAAAGCAGGAATTTAAAGTTAAAAATACAAAAATTAACTAGCTGATGATATAACTGGCTTTTGTAAAACTAAATAAGTTAAAAGTCACAAGAGGGGGAGGATTAAGGTCCTGATTACATTCATTTATTGCTATGGTTTTTTAGCTTTGAAGGACATTTAGGCTTTGTTCACAGTCTTCAAGTAGAACTAAAAGGCAAAAAACTTTTCTTTTCATTTTGGATAGAAGGAAAAGTTTCGAACCCCATTCAAGTTTTTTTTTTTTGCCATCCGTGTTTGGGAGATTTCCCTCACTTTCTGCCCCTAAGCAAAAACAGGAAGCAAGAGAAAATTAAAGGAAGGAAATCCTTGGTTGTTACTAGAGCCACCAGATATAGTGTCTCCATGAAAGATTTTCCCTCTGTTACTGTTCTGGGGTATTCTAATCCTTCTCAACTCGGTTTAAAACTTAAAAAAAAAACAGTTTTGCCTTTGGTTATGCTTTCAGCCTGTACATCAGTGTGTACAGCACGCAAACACAGAACATAATAGGAATGCGGACAGTCACTTTAAACAATTAGGCTTTCAACAAACCTCAATCAGTACTGATGTCTACTGAAGCCTGCTAGCCATTTGTTTTTTAAGGAAAGTCAGCAATTCCCTTAAGATCTGTGTTTAACCTCTCAAACTGGAGCTGAATGGTGTTTTGAAAACTTCAACAAACCTTCATAAAGCCCCGTGCACATGGACCAAACATCAGCTGAAATCAACCTAAACTGTAGATACCAGCTGGCATTCAACCCATGTGTACAGGTCCTTGTTAGAAGCGTCAAACAAACTTGCTGGAAATCCAGCAGCCGATCGGCATGCGCTCAGTGCTTTCAGCCAATGGCTGAGAGCACTTACTGGTGTGTGCTGGCGGAGAGGCAGTCCCCCTGTCAAACAATAGCTCATTGGGGAGATCACTGTACTAAAATCGCATCGCTAGTACAGAAACCTCATCAAGAGCTCCTCAATTTTTTCTTTCACTTACATTCAGCCCAGTGGGTTAAAGAAAATTCTTTTCCATTAAAGAAAAAACAAATGTGTGTGTGTGTGTGTGTATATATATATATATATATATATATATATATATATATATATATATATATATATATATATATACATATATATATATATATATATACACATATATATATATATATACACATATATATATACACATATATATATATATATATATATATATATATATATATATATACACACACACACATATATATATACATACACATATAATTGTGTGTGTGTGTGTGTATACACACATACAGTCAGGTCCATAAATATTGGGACATCGACACAATTCTAACATTTTTGGCTCTATACACCACCACAATGGATTTGAAATGAAACGAACAAGATGTGCTTTAACTGCAGACTGTCAGCTTTAATTTGAGGGTATTTACATCCAAATCAGGTGAACGGTGTAGGAATTACAACAGTTTGCATATGTGCCTCCCACTTATTAAGGAACCAAAAGTAATGGGACAATTGGCTTCTCAGCTGTTCCATGGCCTGGTGTGTGTTATTCCCTCATTATCCCAATTACAATGAGCAGATAAAAGGTCCAGAGTTCATTTCAAGTGTGCTATTTGCATTTGGAATCTGTTGCTGTCAACTCTCAAGATGAGATCCAAAGAGCTGTCACTATCAGTGAAGCAAGCCATCATTAGGCTGAAAAAACAAAACAAACCCATCAGAGAGATAGCAAAAACATTAGGCGTGGCCAAAACAACTGTTTGGAACATTCTTAAAAAGAAGGAATGCACGGGTGAGCTCAGCAACACCAAAAGACCCGGAAGACCACGGAAAACAACTGTGGTGGATGAGCGAAGAATTCTTTCCCTGGTGAAGAAAACACCCTCACAACAGTTGGCCAGATCAAGAACACTCTCCAGGAGGTAGGTGTATGTGTGTCAAAGTCAATAATCAAGAGAAGACTTCACCAGAGTGAATACAGAAGGTTCACCACAAGATGTAAACCATTGGTGAGCCTCAAAAACAGGAAGGCCAGATTAGAGTTTGCCAAACGACATCTAAAAAAGCCTTCACAGTTCTGGAACAACATCCTATGGACAGATGAGACCAAGATCAACTTGTACCAGAGTGATGGGAAGAGAAGAGTATGGAGAAGGAAAGGAACTGCTCATGATCCTAAGCATACCACCTCATCAGTGAAGCATGGTGGTGGTAGTGTCATGGCGTGGGCATGTATGGCTGCCAATGGAACTGGTTCTCTTGTATTTATTGATGATGTGACTGCTGACAAAAGCAGCAGGATGAATTCTGAAGTGTTTCGGGCAATATTATCTGCTCATATTCAGCCATATGCTTCAGAACTCATTGGACGCCGCTTCACAGTGCAGATGGACAATGACCCAAAGCATACTGCAAAAGCAACCAAAGAGTTTTGTAAGGGAAAGAAGTGGAATGTTATGCAATGGCCAAGTCAATCACCTGACCTGAATCCGATTGAGCATGCATTTCACTTGCTGAAGACAAAACTGAAGGGAAAATGCCCCAAGAACAAGCAGGAACTGAAGACAGTTGCAGTAGAGGCCTGGCAGAGCATCACCAGGGATGAAACCCAGCGTCTGGTGATGTCTATGCGTTCCACACTTCAGGCTGTAATTGACTGAAAAGGATTTGCAACCAAGTATTAAAAAGTGAAAGTTTGATTTATGATTATTATTCTGTCCCATTACTTTTGGTTCCTTAATAAGTGGGAGGCACATATGCAAACTGTTGTAATTCCTACACCGTTCACCTGATTTGGATGTAAATACCCTCGAATTAAAGCTGACACTCTGCAGTTAAAGCACATCTTGTTTGTTTCATTTCAAATCCATCGTGGTGGTGTATAGAGCCAAAAATGTTAGAATTGTGTCGATGTCCCAATATTTATGGACCTGACTGTATATATATTACACACACACACATATACATGTGCAGCTGCTGCCCTCTAAAATTTAACGTAATTTAAAAATGACCTTTCCATGTCAGTCTGGACCTGCTGTCGTTTTCTAAAACTGTCAAAAATGTAAATGTTACTTTCTTGCAATATAAAAATCTGAAGGTGATCTGTATAATGCTTTACAGAATCACCTCAGAAATCACAGGATAAATGGAGGTGGACTCAATCCTCCTCTGAATGCTGAGGCTGCCCCAAATGTCACCTGCGCTGGATTAACATCATGCCTTTCAAAGGTCCTGACGCCTGGCCAACCTGCACCATGGAATGCCTGACACTATGTGAAGATACCAGATGCAGCGCAGCACCCTGATTGAGAAACACTGTGGAACAAGGCATGTCTATAATATGCAAAAGCTCAGCTGCAGGAAGCCTATAACCACTACTGAGGACTAGTCTCTTTCCCTCTGTATGTCTTCTCAGCTTCCACAGTTTAGATTACCTCTTACTTTTAAAGGAAATTTTGTTTAGGCTTTTATCCAGAACCAGCAATTTGAAGGAACTTACCTGAATACCCAGAACCAGCAATGGAAGGAACTTACCTGAAATTTTTTCTTGGCCACAAAGTACTGCATTCTACGGATGACTTTTACCGCTGCTCGATGGTGTTCCCGTAGCCTGACAGAATTATAAAATATTAAATTATTTGTTTATAGTCGTTATTCCCATCATATTGTATTCCTACAGCACTTAATATATTAAAAATGGAGGTGTAGTTTACAGGAATCAAATGCCAGCTGATATTTTCTAGCGTATAAATTAAAATAGATATTGGATTCTTTCTATGGGTAATTGGTGACCTTTCTTCTTTTACTATATAGGAAATGCATTGACCCAGAATGCTACAGCATACAGTCTTACTCAGAGATATGAGTTATCGGGGTTAGTAACGTGTCTGCTTCCATGTCTAGATCATCCGTGAAACTGCTTGTTCTGATGAAAGGTCCAGTTCCGACATCCAGCAGTCCAAAGCTCTTTTTTGTTACTGCAGCGAGAAAAAAATAGGTATATGTTTAATGCTTTGGGAAGTTTACTCATCCTGTAATACTTTTCTCGAAAAAAAAAAATCTGAGCAAGAACAGGGAGGAGAGCTATAAGAACAAAAGTGCAGTCACAAAGCAAGACCAGTTGGGGGAATAGGAGTCAGATTTTTAACAAAAGGCAAAAAGTCTATAAGTGGGGCAACCAGTCTCTGAATTCTCAAAAGTTACAAGTCTGGATTCCCTTAAGCGTCCCCAGCCTGTTAAAACTTTCCAGGGAACTCCTGGGGCTACTGCATCTCGTTTTATATGGTAACTGTTCTAATCCAGAAACGATTACTAGACATCAAAATTAAGGTCCCACAGAGACAGTTGGAACTGCACAGGCAGGACAATCCATGAATGAGGCAAAGGCTCCACACAAGACTGGAGACAGGCCAAAATATGATCCCTGACATAATGCCAGGGATGAAACTTGTGAGTCTCACAAAGAGGGAAAACTGATCCCAAGGAGTCATCAAGGCATCTAACAAATGCCTGAGGTTCCCTGGTTCTCGGCACAAATCTGTCCAGTTTGTTTTTGAATCTTGACTCCAGAGATTTGTCTGCAATAGGGGATGCCAGATGTGGATTTTTTTGAACACCTACAGGTGAAGGAAGAAACACCAGTGTAAGTAAGCAAGCCAAATTGCCCGAAGTTTCAGGCTGTTGATCAGAAATTTCCACACCTCTGATTACCACATTCCTTGAACCAAGAGGTTCTGCAGAACAGCTCCCCAGCCCCACAGGCTGGCATTTGTCAACAAGAATGTCCAATTAATTGGAAGCAAGGATCTCCCAGTATCCAGCATCTACTGGATATCCACCAGTCCTGAGCCGATCATGTCCTGAAAGTCAGATGCATTGGCAGATCCAAAGACACCCACTGTTTACCCCATACCAAAAGGATGTCGAGTTGAAGAGCTCTGGAGTGAAACTACCACCTTGCTACCACCTTTCCGACCACGCTCATGCAGACCCCAACTGAGGAATTTCCCAACAATTTCAGGGGCTCCACCTAAGATCAGAGAGATAGGCACTTCACCTGCACAGATTAAGTCTCCAGACATTGGAGATGATTTACTAAAGGCAAACAGACTGTGCACTCTACACGTGCAGCTGCTCCATAGATTAGTAAATGAGGTAAAGCTCTGCTGAATTCCATTATCCAACCATGTGCTAGCAAAAATGCTGGTTTTTTTTTTTAATTTTCCTTGCTTGTGATTGGGTATTCTTTGCAAAGTGAAGCTTTGCCTCATTTACTAAACTCTAGAGCAACTGCACTTGCAAATTGCAGTCTTTTTGCCTTTAGTAATTCAACTAAACCTTTCCAGGCATGTACCATCTGCTGGCCATTATTCTGAGCCGAATGCTCAGAACAACATCAGAACCAGAGCCAACACTTTGTTAAACCTTGGTTGGGGGCTGTGGAAGGCCAGTGTGTGCTCTTGCATCCAGTCATATCTATGATAATCATAGCAAGAGTCAGTCAGTAAGCAGTGCAGTATCTGCATTTCAGCACTTTAACTATAGTGACATTCGCATGTGCATTGACAAAAAGCCCATACGGGAGAAAACTCAAGATGCTTCCAGAAAGCAATCATAGTTGAATTTTACTGCTGTAGACATCTGCTTCATATGCTCAATCAGGAGCTAAGGAAGCTCAAAGTTTGAGCCAAAGCTTCAGGTACTCACAAAACCCAAACAACTGGTAGCTGGTAAGGGTCAAATGGCCAAAGGTGACCAAGGTCACTGAAGACAGGAAGTAGAAATAGACTGAAGATCAGAGTTCCACATGGCTCTTTTGAATGTAGGAGAGTCTTTTGCTGGCTGCAAGGGATCCATTTTACTACTTTTCTTAGTATTAACAAATTCCATAAAAATTACTTCGCACCACAAAATACTTGGTTCTGTATTCTCTAAAAGGGGCCATACTGGGAGGTTGGAAAGGGTGGAACCAAGGGATGGTGCTCAGAGGTGGGTAGAGGTGGAGACAAAGAGTGACTCGGAAGGGGGGAGTGCCCTTACTTATTCTTTGAGAAAAAAAGCTCTGTGTAGAACCTAATGCCTGAAGGTCACTTCCAGGCCAATCCTGCAATGTCCAGTCTAGTGGGGTGAGTGTGGCACTCCAAAAGCCAGGTTATGGAAAGGCCATGCAAGATAGCTGCAAAATGTTGAGACCAGCTCTAGCAATGATGTAAAGAAGAATCTTGATTAAAGGGGAAAAAAAAAAAAAAAAAAGGACAGAAATAATTTAGACTTCCCAGCAGAACTAAAGAAAAAGAAGTCCATCCACCTAGGACACTTGCATTTTTCCCCAGTGTCCAATCCTCCTGTAGACAAAATTATCTGAAAGTAAACACTTCCAGTTTCCCTCAATGGACGAGAAAGACATTTTGGTATTTTTTTGGGCAGATTAAAATCTAGCGTTTATTTTAAGTGCATAAGTAACACAGTTGTTCCATACATAACAAAAACTACCATGGCAATCATATAGTATAAAGCTAATGCTTTCTTTTTAAATGGTTTCACTCTAGCTTTTGTACTTGTTCGACATCTGTGGTTATCCTTTCAGACAGCCTAACAGAAGGAGGAGCTCCATAGTGAACTTCACAGGTTAGGGCCCTGACAGTCCATGAGGAGGGAAAAGGGTGAGCCATCAGCTGAATTACAGGCTTTGGGAAGCGTTCTCCATGCCAAACAACAATGAAGCACACCAAAATAGGAGGATCACAATAGTGTTTACTTACTTTTTGGAAGGTAAAATCCTTTCTACATACATGTTTCACCTGTGCTACTAAAACTATTTGGCTGGAAACACCTTTAAACAGCGGTTTTATTTCTGTAGTTAGCGTGAAATAGGGAGACAAAAAAACTGGTTGGCTATAGAAATTTTCTAATTACCTGTATTCTCATAGGCTTCCATTGCGTAGTCATTTTTTCGATCATCTGCCACATGATCGTATGTAATATGAGGAATGTTTAACATTTTCTCTGTGGAGCCCTCCTCTTTTTCTGTGCGCATTTTCTTTCTTTTAACCTATAAACATTGCCAAGGTTATAATATGACACATTCTTACATTACACATGCAAACAGCCATGTTATGGGCTCATCCCATATTATTAATAATCATAGGAAATCTGTCAAAAGAGAAGCATGGAGCCTGCCATTGGTAACCCCTCTTTCTGAAAAAGCTAGCTATTTGGCTGCAATGCTAATATCATTGCTTTATGTCTGAGTCACTGACCTAGAACAAGTACACACAAAAGGAATTCAGACTTTTCTCTGTCCTTCCCAATCTACATACCTGTTCTGGGTCAGTGTTTTTTGCCAGGTAATTAGGATGTCTTAAAAAGAGAGAAAAAAAAAAAAAAAAAAAAAAAAAAAAAAGAAGAAGACTAAGATCTCACATATTGCTCCCATGATAGGTTTACTCCAAAAGCACCAAATAGAGGTGACCAGCACAAAGTAGGTTATTATTCTGCTAATTTTTTTCTTTACTTGAAACAGTTTATTGTTTGTGCCCTTAATGGCTCCTGCTGCTCTCAGCAAAGCCTGTGAGAATTGGGTAGAGGGGAGAGAAGACCTGCAGAAAGGTACATCTCTGGATCAATGGAGGAGTCAGGTAAGGGAAGGGGAAACCAGTATTAGAGGTTCTTTTTTACCTTAATGCTGAGAATGCATTAACGTAAAAAAAAACCTTTAGTTTAGAAACACTTTAAACACCTTTATTCTTATATTAGTTTTTTCCCCTCTTTCTTTTTTTTTAGTCTTTTTTACAATTTCATATACAAGGTGTTTATATTCTTATTATATGTTGTGAATTACCTCTTTTTTTTTGTATTCTGTAGTTTTTTTTTAGACCTGACTTGCAAAGTTCACCTGTCTATTTCATCTGCTTTATTGTGTTCTTTATATTTTGTTTTTGCATTTATTTCTAAGACTAGGTTCACACCTAAGCGGCTCTGCATGCTTTGTTTGCACTGGCACATTGCATTTCCGGCAGTGAAAAGGTCCCTGCACCTTTTTTTTTTAAAGCGCGGCCACACAAACTTCATGGTACCCCCATACGTTATCTTTAAAGAACCTCGTTTTTTGCATGCAGCTGCATGCAGGATTGGGGAAGGTGTTCGATTTACCCAATTCCTGCACAAATGTGACCATAACCTAATAAAAATGTTTTACAACATTGGAAGAAAAAAAAAAAAACAGTAGAAAAAAAAAAGTAAATGCATGTTTCACAGTAACCAACATGAACAGCAAATACTTTTTAGAAAACTGATCTGAGAAGATACACATGGCTAGGTGCAGAAAAATGAACTGTAAAATGCCTTTTTACTCTGATTGAGATTGCATGACAAGAATTGTACACATTGACTCTTGCCCATTAAAATAGGACTACAGCAGTGTTACAACTCCATGCTTACCAGTCCCAAGTGCATACTTGGAAGGCCACAGTCAGGCAAGGATACATAGCTGCTATCTGCCAGTATCCAAGTATGTTTTTAGGATTGAAATGTACTTGGGCACAATGAAGTGGTAGAACTGTTTAAATGAACGTTATAGTAAAAAAAACACATTTTTAGTACCAAACTGGTAAATAATTCATATACCACATTTATCGGTGCTTTTGCTTAAAAGAGGAATTCCAGCTAGCCCTAAAATGTCCCCGTTCCCCCTCTTAACACCTATGCTAACTAATCGGTGTAAGAAAGATGTACAGTGGGTATAGAAAAGAATTGCCCCCCCCCCTTTAACAATCACATTTTGTTGCTTTGCAGCCTGAAATGAAGACATAGTTTTTGTTTTGTCCAGCTGTATTTACGCTCTGCAACTTATAAAATCCAAGTAAAAAGATATAACACCAACATGTCAGAATTTTTTTTTTTTTAATTCAAAAACAGAATTACTGAGTTGGAAAGAGGATAACCCCCTGATAAAAAATTACTTTTAAACTTAAATCAGGTGAAGGGGCATACAAACTCATTTGGCTTTCAACGGTGATCAGCTGTGGTCACTTTGATTACTTCAGTTTGAAATGTGCTTTGTTTGCTTCAGTTGCACTACTAGGGCCTGAAATGCTCCAGCAATCAACTATGGGTGGCAAGGTACTTTCAAAAGATCTCTGGGATAAAATTGTGAACAGGCACAAGTTAGGAGATGGATACAAAAAAAAAAAAATTCAAAAAGGCTTTATCAATGCCTAGAAGCACAGTATAGTCTATTATAAAAAAAAGTGTAAGGTATTTGGGTACAACCCAGATCCTCCCTGGATCAAGACGTTGCTCCAAACTGAATAAAAGAGCCAGAAGGAAACTGGTTAGAGGAGCTACCAAGAGGCCTACAACAACTCTGAAGCAGTAGGAGGAATTTATGACAAAGAGTGGTTATTGTGTGCATGTGACAGCAATATCACAAATTCTCCACAAATGTGGCTTGTATGGGAGGGTTGCAAGAAAAAATCCACTCCTCAAGAAAGCCCATGCACTGAACTTTGCCAAAAACTCACTTTGAAGAATCTGAGGCCACATGGAAAAAGCTGTTGTGGTCAGATGAGACTAAAATTGAATTATTTGGCTCTACACTAAACATCACATGTTGGCGGAAATCTAATACAGCTCACCTACCAAAACACACCATTTCTACAGTAAAGTATGGAAGTGGGAATATCTTTTTATTGGGATGTGTAAAGGGAATTCCTGTACGGTAACTGGCTAATAGAAATGCGCGCGCACACGGGTGCACACATGCGGGAGCGTGCCCACTGTTTCTGGCGCCAGACTATTTAAAAGGAAGCTCTTACTCTGTCAGTGCTGACTGGTCTTCAGCTTACCTCCTGTTTCCTGCTGAATACTGTGTATATCAGTTACTGACCCGGCTTGCCATTGACCTGCTCTTGGATTCTGTTTATGCTGCTGTTCATTGGTTTCTGATCCTGGCTTCTTCCTGAGCTTGTCCCTGTCTGATGTTTCGGTACCTCATCGCCTTCTCGTTGCTGACCCTGGCTATTACTCTGACTACGTTTTCGGCTCCAGTTTGGCTCTACAGTCCTAGCTGTCATTACAGCAGCTCCAGTTGTCACGGTGTGTTCCGGCCTCACGCTTATCAAAAGTTCCGGCAAGCCACGTACCCAGATCTTGCAGTTCCAGTGGAGTGCGTCCTTAACTTTCAGCTTGCCTTTCCGGCATCTCCTCTGTTCCTGACTGAATGCCCTGTCTGATTTACCGAGGTTACATCACCAGCTGCAAGTTCCACAATCAATATCCCACAGGCACTCGTGTTCCTCCTGTCCCTCGGCACCATCTGTTTTACCTTCAGTGGGGCCTGGGTTGGAGATACAAGAAAGGCTGACCTCATCAATTCAGACTTCTATCAGGTACGTGACAGGATGTTTCTCTGCAGCAGACACTGGAGCACTTGTCAGGATAGAAAGAAAAATGGATGAGTCAAAATACGGTCAAATCCTTGAGGAAAATCTACTTCCCTCTGCCAGAAAGTTGTCAATGGGAAGGTGGTTTACCTTCCAACATGACAATGACCCAAAGCACACAGGAAAAAATGACCGCACAGTGGTTGAAAGAAAAAAGGTGAATATCCTTGCATGGCCTAGTCAGAGCCCAGACTTGAACCCCATTGAAAATCTGTGGAACGATTTAAAGACTGCAGTCCACAAATGGTCACCCATCAAATTTAACTGAACTTGAGCAGTTCTGCAAAGAAAAGTGGGCAAATATTGCAAAGTCTAGATGTGCATATTTCGTAGAGACATATCCCAACAGACTAAAGGCTGTAATCAAAGTAAAAGATGGTCCAACAAAATACTGACACAAGGGGGTAATCCTTTTTCCAACTCCATAATTCTGTTTTGAATTTTTTTTTTAATTTTTTCTGAAGTTGGGGTTATATTCACTTGGATGTTATAAGTTGCACTGTGCAATACAGCTGGATAAAACAAACTGCCTGTCTTCATTTCTGGCTGCAACACAACAAAATATGATTTTAAAGGGGGTGATTTCTTTTCTATACCTACTGTATATACTTACCTATTCCCATGCTAGTCCAGTCACGTGATCACCCCTGCGTCAGCAAGCAGCAGCTGCAGCGGATAGGAGAGACTGTTCCAACAACAGCTAATAATGCCTGGAACAGTGATGTCACCCATAGGCACCTATGGTCCATCTGTTGTTGGTGCTCTCTCCTCTCTCCTGCAGTCATGTTGGCTAACACAGGGGAGCCAGATCATGCGACCGGACCAGTCTGAAAATAGGCAAGTACATACATCTTTCTACACAGGTCTACACATACATCTTTCTACACAGGTTAGTTGCATAGGTGTTAGGAGTGAGGAGGGGACAAATTTAAGGCTAGTTACTGTAGGTGTGAGCTTGAATTCCACTTTACAAGCTTATTGCTTAATTCCCAATTCAAACAAGAATAAAGAGTTATACTGTACCATTACGGTTTTTCTTGGGTTTGGGGCTAGGTGACATAATTTGTTGGCTCCGTGAGGGCTTCCTGATGTACATTTTCCATGTTGCCGAGTCTGGGTTTTCTGCAGCATAACACCTCCATGCAGTCTAGGAAACAGAGGACACTAGTGTTTTTAAGTGATACACAACTAAGTTCTCATATAGCACACTGTTGATGAACTTAGGTATGCAGAGAAGTCTAACAAGAAGCCTTTGCACTTCTACAAACCTCAAGGAGCAGCAAAACCTCATCACAAGGGATGTATTTCTAATGAGTTTTATATATTCCATATCACAGTACAAAATGAGTGATGTGTTGCATTAAAGCCTAGTTTAAGACATTTCAGGGGCTGTGTTTTACTTGCTTTACATGTTGCTGCTTCTCTTTGGACATAGCATGTTATATTGAGGTGCAATTGAACAAAAAGTAAAAGCAGATGAAAACGCAGCATTTTCTTGTCAAGTGCTACATTTGCTATTCAAAACGCATGCATTTGAATAGCAAATGCAGCATTTGAGAAAAAAAAAACCCCTATCAAACATGAGCCTTTGTACTGTACATCAGGGCTGTGACTGCTGTCACATAAAACCACAACGCTCATTACTGTACCTGTATGAGAGACGCTGCAGCTGGAATCTGACGATTAAAGTGCTTTTGACGCTGCTTTTGCTGTACTTTTAAGGCAAAACCAGAACCAAGGATACCCTGAAGGACAAAACATAGGTAACCAAGATAATAGGTGAAGGAGGAGCAAATTAGGAAAGAACACCAAGTAAGCCAGAGAACATACCGCTGGCAATGCAAAAAAAAGGAGATTGCAAAGACTGAAAAACAAGAGGCTATTGTTTTCCCAATCCACGTCTGAGGCACTTTGTCTCCATAACCAATGGTTGTAAAACGGTCACCTAGTGGAAAAAATAATAATTTAGGCAACATACAGTAATGGCACAGAGGGCTACTCCTTAATCCTTAACAGGATGTACAAAATTATCACCGGACCAGATTTTAAATTTACTGATCTTTAATAAAATCTGAATCAAGGACTTTGATCACCACCTTCAACTTTAATCTCTCACGCTGCACGTGGAAAATGAAAGCGATATTTTGACTGGTTGCTAGGAATAAGAATAGTTCTTCCTTTAAAGCAAACGTGCTTTGCCTATAATTAGCAAAACATGTATACTTAAAATGTATGTTAATCTTTAACCACTTCCATACCGGGCACTTTTACCCCCTTCCTGCTTAGGCCAATTTTCAGGTTTCAGCGCTCCCACACTTTGAATGACAATTGCGCGGTCATACAACATTGTACCCAAACGAACATTTTATCATTTTCTTCACACAACTAGTGCTTTCTTTTGGTGGTATCTAATCACCGTGTGGGTTTTTTTTTTTTGCTAAATTAACAAAAAAAGACCAAAAATTTAGGAAAAAAAAAAAAAAAAAAAAAAAAACTTTGTTTGTTTCTGTTATAAAAGTTTGCAAATAAATAATTGTTCTTCATAAATTTAGGCCAAAATGTATTCTACTACTACTACTGGTGAAAATAACCCAAATTAGTATTTATTATTTAGTCTGTAGGAAAGTTATAGAGTTCACAAACTATGGGATATATCTGAATATTGATCAGTCCTGAAGTACTGATGGCCAATTGAATTTCTTGAGGTCCAAGAATGTCAGAACAGTACAGATATCCCCCAAATGACCCCTTTTTGCAAAGTAGACAGACCAACGTATTTCATAAGAGGCATGGTGAGTTTTTGAAGTTATTTTTTTTGTCATAATTATTCAGAAATTAAAAAATAAAAAAAACGATTTTCACTATTTTTTTTTTTACATATTGTCACCAGTGCAGTGGAGTTTCATCATATAACTGGCAAGGCGGTGATCAGGGACACTGACTGGTGACCGTACGAGAAAAAAAAAAAAAAAATCGATAATTTGTTTAAATTTTTTTTATTATTTTGTTCTCTAAGATTTTTTTTCATATTTCACTATGACCAAAGTAGTATAATGTTACCATAGTAACATTGTACTACTTTAGGGAAGTGATCTATTTTTTTTTTTTTTTTTTTACACAATTTGCTTATAGCAAAGAATTACTTTGCTATAAGTAAGCATTTAACTGAATGAAATCGATTCATTCAGGATTTTTTTTTTTTCCTTAACTGCGATTTGGCCACAGCTAATCACATGACACAGCTGGGCTGTGATTGGCCCAGCTTGTGCATGTGATCTCTGTGACAATTCACAGCTAGCCACACTTGTATACAATGGATGGCATGACAGGAAGCCATCCATTGTATACACCTGTCATGTGACCTGCTGTGATTGGTCACAGCAGGTCACGTGGTACCCCGGCAAATGGGGCCGGAACTCAGATCTGTCATCGTCCATGTCCGAGGTACACGGCTGGTGACAGATCGCGCCGCTCTTCGGGCATGCAAACTGCGCATGCCTGAAAGAACGCCATATGGCGTCCACCCAGAGGGACAAGGTGTTTTGCCAGCCGCCATCTGACCATAGGCCGGGCAGGAAGCGGTTAATTGAGGTACAGTATGTGTGCTGTGTATTATGCGTCTTCATCAGTAGTGTACACGGTAATCCTGTGAGTCCCCCTATTTTTCCTATTGTAAACTGACCACGCCAAGCATGGAAGAACAAAGCAGAAAATACTTTCTAGATCTGTTATATGAATGGGAAAGCATACCTTACAGCTGGGTTTCTCAAATTTGACAGCAAAAGTGAAAAATACACATAATTTTAGCAGGTCCATAAAGCAAGCACCTCTTCAGCTGCCTATTCGCATCTTCAGATTATCTTCAGAGCATCCCAGGATCCCCATAACCTGGGAACTGTTCTATACAAAATATCGATTACCGCTTCTGTGGTTGAAGTATGGCCTTTTTCCTTCCACCACCTTCCTATTACCCACCAAATATGATCAATAGGAAGGTGTCAAGGAGGGACAAGATGGTCCAGACTAGGGTTTCAACTTGTGCGATTTGATAGATTCAAAATGGGATGACAAGCCGCAACCTACTGTCAGCAATGGAACCATTCAAATTGCTGCGTCTCCGACTTTGCGGATTCCTGTACTATTTTTTTTGCATTTCAGGCAAATGACATACAGCTTTGAAGTCGCCAGACTTCAAATGAATTTGCACAATTTCATAGTCAGATTCAGTGTAAACCAAGGCTTATACTACATTATATAGTGGTCCTCTCCTCTATTCTCTCTCCAAATCTTTAGAGCTAGTTTGGAAGACGTAGGGGCTGGCTATATGGATCTGAGGCCACTTTATAAAACAAGGTGAGACCACAGGCTCAGCTCACATTTAAGATAGTATACTTACTACTCCCCACCACAGGGCGTCCGCATAGCTACCAAACTGGTATTCTCCTGAGCCGTCAATAGCATCCTTTTCAGCAAGGTATACAAAATAAGAGGAAAAGATTAAGCCTAGGAATCCAATGTAGAGTGTGGTTATCAGTTCCTGGAAGACAAAAACAGGATATAAATAAAAGTGTGAAAACATTGGCTTTCAGTTGGACAGCTAGATTTTCTTCAAACTTGGTCGCAAATAGCTATTGCAGTAATTCCACAATAATATTATACGTAGACCGAGGCCACATGACCTCATCTTAGGACCATATCTATTATTTTTGGATAAAGGCAAACTAAGCCTAACTGACATGTTCATGCTTCGTAGGGTAAATAAAGGTTAAGAGGCTGACACGATTGCTAAAAGCTTTCCAAAAGGAATGGCACAACTGCCTGGAAATCTAACACTGGAGCATAAAAGTATCATTTCCACTAAGATTTCTATGAGTACAATATATGCCAGTTAGTAATCAGAAAGATAAAAGGTTATGTTCATATTTATTTGCTTACATCAATGAGCCAGTGAAACAAAAATGTGGCCATGTAAATATGATTTCATTAAAAAAAAAAAATGCAATTCCATATAATTCCCATATGCTGTAATAACTCTGCACTTAGGGAAATAAAAAAATATAAATTGTGAAATTGGACTGCTGCTCGCAAACCAATATCCAAATACTGGATATCAGCATAAACAAAATAATAACTAATGCTGCACTGTCTTTCTAAACTTTATTCCAAAAACAAGTAATATAGTGAAACTGGAAAAAAATCATCAAATGAAGAGTCACAAATCTGAATGGTGAATCAAATCTTCATGCCTATCCAATATAGTACACAAATCCACCACTATAATTCAAAAGGCCTCTTACCAGATGGATATGACCCCTATTATTTATTATTATTAGGTGGTCATAAGGTCATTTTCATTTGATGTTTTTTTTTCACAATTTTACTACGTTAAAGTACTTGTTTTTTGGTGTACAGTTTAAACAGACAGTGCAGTGTTATTTTATATTTTGTTTAGGCCACACAACAATTATTAAAACTCAAAATTAGTGACCAATTCTGATGAAAACCAATATTTCAGGTCTGGGCAGGCAATAGAATATATATGCCAATTTTACATAATAAAATTTAAAGCTGAACTCTGGGCTAGAGACAAAGTTACCCTTCCTCCTTGCAAGCAGAGGAGATGATGCTGCTGGGATGTGGACATTTGAATGTTTTTTCCAGGTTACAGAATCAAAAGTATCAAAGTCGGTGAGTCAGCAAGACAGATAAAACATTTTCAGCAATGGTAACCTCCGTATTCCTGTGCTGACAGGTTTCTTTTAACCACTTCCTGTCCGGACACTTTTACCCCCTTCCTGTCCAGGGCAATTTTCAGCTTTCAGCGCTATCACACTTTGAATGACAATTGCACGGTCATGCAACACTGTACCCATATGAATTTCTTACCATTTTTTGAGACCGATAAAGCTTTATTTTGGTGGTATTTATTCACTGCTGGGATTTTTATTTTTTTTTGCTATGTAAATGTCCAAAAATTTTGAAAGAAAGTGTTTTTCTTATAAAATTTTGCAAATAACTAATATTTCATCATAAATCTTGGCCGAAATGTATTCCGTTATCTTTTTAGTTAAAAAAAAAAAAAAAAAAGCCAAATTAGTTTATAACCAAAAATTATAATTTTTAAACTTTTTTGTACATTTTTATTTTATTTTTTTACATTTTTTTTTTTTTTTTTTTCATTACATACTGTCACCCTAGCAGTACAGTGTCACCATGGTGACACTGTACTACTTGTGGGGGGTGATGATTTTTTTTTTTTTTTTTTTTTTTACAGTGATTGCTTTTACACCCATAAAGGATGTAAAAGCAATCATTTCTCTTCTCTATGTCTGCATTCTTGCAGTCATTGAGAACTACTGAGTGAGCTGTGATTGGTCACAGCTTGTCACATGGTACAAGGCTGTTGTGAATAGCTTTGTACCATGTGACCTCTGTAATCATTCCAGATTTCATATGTAGTAAGCAATGATGTCACAAGTGACATCTTGCTTACTACTTTGCATGTGATCACTGATTGGCCTATCAGTGATCACATGATCTGGACCTCGTACAGAGGTCCCGTCCGACGATCGGTGTTTTCACTGTGTCTGGAAGACACAGCGGGCACCGAATCGCGGTGCTGCGCGCTCCCATGGAGCGCGCACAGCTAGAAATGGCAGGTGCCGTTTTTGAACGGTAACCCGCCCCTGGAGTGCCACCGCCCTGCCGTTTATAAACAGCAGGCGGACGGCAAGTGGTTAAAACTGAAGTAGCTGTAAAGAAAAATAAAAAAAATGCGAGCAGGCAAGCTTTTTATTGCAGAAGAGACATAGCTTGTCTCTTCTGCAATAAAACAGACATACCTGCCTGTTCACCATCTTTTTTAGAATATACAGTAAGCTGCATGTGCTCAGTTCTGTGCAATTCTCGGCACACTTCGTGTCGAGATAAATTAACTTGTCATTCCAGCCTGGCCAATCAAGATGGCCAAAGATCCCAGACCAAGAACACCAATGACCAAAGATGTTGGTGCCAGCGAGAGTGAGCGCTGGGAGGCAAGTTAAGTTCCACTATAAATAGTAGTTTAGTGGTAAGAAAAAAAAAAAAAAAAAAAGAGTGAATGTACCTGTCTATGTATAAAGACAACCGATCCAAGCAATCGCCATGTACCACCTTGCCGATCAACATGTAACATACGTAGGATCTGTAGAAATCTGATCCCCCTGCCAGACAACACCAAATAAATTACAAAAGACCATTGCAAAAGACAGGTCAATAGAATCACATATACAATTGTGCTCAAAAGTTTGCAAACCCTTACAGAAATCATGAAATTTTGTCATTTATATTGAAAGTATGACTGATCATGCCATGTCTTTTATTTAAGGATAGTGATCATGAAGCCATTAATCACATACTGTAGTGTTTGGCCCTTTTTTAAATCAAAATAACGTAAATCACCCAAATAGCCTTGATCAAAAGTTTACAAAACCCTGGAATGTTTGGCCTTGGTACAGACTAAAACTTTAAAATGCCAATTAAAGGTTAATTTTTTAAATTGCAATTCGTGTCTGTGTATAAATAGTCAATGAGTTTGTTAGCTCTCACGTGGATGCACTGAGTCGGCTAGATACTGTGTCATGAGCAGAATAGAACGGTCAAAAGACCTGTGTAACAAGGTAATGGAACTTTACAAAGTATCATTATAAAAGATATCCAAAGCCTTGAATATGCCAGTCAGTACTCTTCAATCACTTAGTAAGAAGTGGAAAATTTGGGGATCTCTTGATACCTAGTCAAGGTCAGGTAGACCAACAAAGATTGCAGCTACAACTGCCAGAAAAATTGTTTGGGAAAAACCCACAAGTAACCTCAGGAGACATACACTGTACTCTGGAAGAAGCCTTTGTGGTTGTTTTAAGGAGCACAATACAACGATACTTGAACCAAATGAGCTGCATGGTCGATTTGCCAGAAAGAGGCCTTTACTGCATCAATGCCACAAAAAAGCATGGTGAGGCATGTCAAGATGTTGTCAGACATATTGTAACTGGGCTTTTTTGTGACATTCTTGGTCTACCGGACCTTGGCTTGGTATCAAGAGATCCCCAAACTTTTCACTTCTTAAAAAAGTGATTCCTAAAAAGCAGCCAAAAACCTGAAACCAAGTCATGCCCTCTGTGTAAGGAAAAAGCAGTGAATGCACCATTGTATGTATGTTCTATAGCATGAACCCAGGAAAGCGAAAACCCAGCCTGTGTGAAAACCATGATTTCCTCCATGAAAAAAAAAAAGGAAACACTAAGTACAGACACAAATAATGTTATTGAAGGATCACCAGATGAAAAAGGGGGGGGGGGGGGGGGGGGCATAAAAATATAAAATTACTACATTCACCACATCCAAAGAATGAGAGGAGCAATATATCACATTTTTGTTTTTGGGATTACACTTTCAACATGCCTTACAATTGGTAAAAGAATTTTTTTTTTTTTTCTATAGATATATAGAGATAGATAGATCTAGCTAGCTATAACCTTGACTATTGCCAATCTTTCATATGCATTTTCTTTGACTAAGCCTTACAGTACACCCAGCAGGTACTACTGCTTTGAAGTGAGGCAGTCGAGATGGTTTAGGAACAGTAAGAAACCCCTACAAGTTTAATGTGTCCCAATTATTACAATTATATCCATCAACAGAGCTAACACTGTCCCTCAGACACCACATGTGGCCTAATTCCTAGTAAAAAAAAAAAAAAAAAATCACCTTCATTATTATGGAAGTTGTTTTCACAAGCAAGTCTACTGTACTCATTTACTTACAGTTTAGAGCGCATACTTTAAAACAAGTCTCAGCCCAAAATAGACACTGCTTTTGGAAAACAGAGAGCTTATACAGCCTCAGGAAAAAAACATCTGCATTCAAGACCCCTCCTGTCGGAATTCACACAGGTAATTAAGATCTCCAGTGGCAAGAAATGAGAATTCTTGCATAGAAACTTTAGCCCCGTGCACTGTGCGACAACAGCTGCAGCTAGATTTGTACTCTATACAAGTCAATGGGCGATGAATCTACTGTACGCATGTACAGTTAGGTCCATAAATATTGGGATATGGACACAATTCTAACATTTTTGGCTCTATACACCACCACCACAATGGATTTGAAATGAAACAAACAAGATGTGCTTTAACGGCAGACTGTCAGCTTTAATTTGAGGGTATTTACTTCCAAATCAGGTGAACGGTGTAGGAATTACAACAGTTTGCATATGTGCCTCCCACTTGTTAAGGGACCAAAAGTAATGGGACAGAATAATAATCATAAATCAAACTTTCCCTTTTTAATACTTGGTTGCAAATCCTTTGCAGTCAATTACAGCCTGAAGTGTGGAACGCATAGACATCACCAGACGCTGGGTTTCATCCCTGGTGATGCTCTGCCAGGCCTCTACTGCAACTGTCTTCAGTTCCTGCTTGTTCTTGGGGCATTTTCCCTTCAGTTTTGTCTTCAGCAAGTGAAATGCATGCTCAATCGGATTCAGGTCAGGTGATTGACTTGGCCATTGCATAAAATTCCACTTCTTTCCCTTAAAAAACTCTTTGGTTGCTTTTGCAGTATGCTTTGAGTCATTGTCCATCTGCACTGTGAAGCGGCGTCCAATGAGTTGTGAAGCATTTGGCTGAATATGAGCAGATAATATTGCCCGAAAAACTTCACAATTCATCCGGCTGCTTTTGTCAGCAGTCACATCATCAATAAATACAAGAGAACCAGTTCCATTGCCAGCCATACATGCCCACGCCATGACACTACCACCACCATGCTTCACTGATGAGGTGGTATGCTTAGGATCATGAGCAGTTCCTTTCCTTCTCCATACTCTTCTCTTCCCATCACTCTGGTACAAGTTGATCTTGGTCTCATCTGTCCATAGGATGTTGTTCCAGAACTGTGAAGGCTTTTTTTAGATGTCGTTTGGCAAACTCTAATCTGGCCTTCCTTTTTTTTGAGGCTCACCAATAGTTTACATCTTGTGGTGAACCCTCTGTATTCACTCTGGTGAAGTCTTCTCTTGATTGTTGACTTTGACACACATACACCTACCTTCTGGAGAGTGTTCTTGATCTGGCCAACTGTTGTGAAGGGTGTTTTCTTCACCAGGGAAAGAATTCTTCAGTCATCCACCACAGTTGTTTTCCGTGGTCTTCCGGGTCTTTTGGTGTTGAGCTCACCGGTGCGTTCCTTCTTTTTAAGAATGTTCCAAACAGTTGTTTTGGCCACGCCTAATGTTTTTGCTATCTCTCTGATGGGTTTGTTTTGTTTTTTCAGCCTAATGATGGCTTGCTTCACTGATAGTGACAGCTCTTTGGATCTCATCTTGAGAGTTGACAGCAACAGATTCCAAATGCAAATAGCACACTTGAAATGAACTCTGGACCTTTTATCTGCTCATTGTAATTGGGATAATGAGGGAATAACACACACCTGGCCATGGAACAGCTGAGAAGTCAATTGTCCCATTACTTTTGGTCCCTTAACAAGTGGGAGGCACATATGCAAACTGTTGTAATTCCTACACCGTTCACCTGATTTGGCTGTAAATACCCTCAAATTAAAGCTGACAGTCTGCAGTTAAAGCACATCTTGTTTGTTTCATTTCAAATCCATTGTGGTGGTGTATAGAGCCAAAAATGTTAGAATTGTGTCCATGTCCCAATATTTATGGACCTGACTGTAACAGCTCATCTGAGTGGTAGCATGCGATTAGGGACTCTGGGGACGGGAGGTTTTGCGCCCAGGGACAGCAGTTTGTATGCTCCCATAGCACAGAGTGCTGCTGTGTACAGAGTCATCAGTGTATCTGCCCCACATCTGTCAAAATGAGCCCTAAATAGTTTTTTTATTATTATTAAATGACTTCAAAATCCAGCAATACTAAATACTTAAAGGCTTAAAACATTACTGCTATAACTGAAGTTTTTTTTTTTGTTTTGTGTTTTTTTACCGTCAGATCTTAAACGCCTTTTCAACCAACCAAACCTAAAGCCACCACTAGACGCACCAGTTGAAAAAAAGAGTTCCGTTTCTTTCTTGTCCGTTGAGGAACACAGGGAGTCTTAAACATTGGGTTACACTGAAACCTACAAGATCACTGGATACTCAGGCAAAAAATAAAATTAAAAAAAAAGTGGGTCAATTCAACCCTTCCTACTCCCAGCATGTCTCTGTTCTTTGCCAATATCTACTGAGAAAAGCCTAACATTTTACGCTAGCTACTTTTTTTTTTCTTTTCCAATCAAGACTCATTTTACATTGCTGCTGGGATGGTCTCTACATTCAGCTATCCAGATCAGATTTTCCCCAGCCTGACTTTAAGGTGACATCCCTGCAACCCACTTGACTGGATGTACAGTGCTAGCCTGGTATGTAGGAACAAAGGAACACAGCGCCTCTAAGTGTGTACTGTAATAGCATTTAATAAGAAGATAAGTAGTAACTCACATCTTAGAAATTAAAAACAGGCTCATGTAGTGGAGAGATAAAACGTCTTATAGCCAGATGTTGGGTGACTGTACCAGAAGGAGATAGCCTAGGTCCGCCAGCAGATTCCCCCTAATCTCACACCCCCCAGAAATAACTAGGGTAACAGTAGGGTGTAACAACAAGTGTCAGAGTGGCTGGACCATTACATGAAAGGTATCAATGGTGTAGTTGAATGAATAAATGAATATAACAGAAAAGGAATAACGTAGGAGACATAGAAAAGCATAACACCATTGCTGCACTGATGGGCTTCTAGAAGAGTCAGTACAAGGAGAATGACAGGCGCATGGTGTAGCATCCATGTATGTAGTATGAATTTCCAAATGGACAGGGTAGCCCAGTAGGCACTGGGGGCAAGGTGCGATGGAGCGAAGCGTAACTCTGCGGTAGAAGGAACAAAGGAACACAGCTCCTCTAAGTGTGCACTGTAAAAGTATTTAACTGCCTCCTGCCCGCCATATAGTGCAATGACGGGCGCTAGGCGGTTCTCTCGTTCTGGGAGGACTTCATAAGACGTCCTCCCATTCTAACTGCACATGTATGGCTCTGGGAGCGCGCTGCACAGCGATCGGTGGTGCGCTGTGTCCCTCGGACACAGCAGATCACCGATCAACGGAAAGAGCCAAAGATGTCGGCTCGGTCATGTAATCAGCTGTGTCCCAATCACAGCTGA